GGTAGCTTAGCATCCCTCACGGGCATCATATGACCTCCGAAAGGGTTATCTGCTCTCTTCACCATTAAACCAGGAAATCAAACCTATTGCCGTCGAGTTCATACTGACTCATGGCGACCTCATATGTTACAGAGTAGAGCTGTCCATAGGGTTTTCTTGGCTGTAATCTTTTATGGAAACAGATCATCAGGACTTTCTTCCTCAGAGCTGCTGGGTGGGTTCAAACTGCCAACCTTTAGGTTAGTAGTTGAGTGCAAACCGTTTCCACTACCCAGGGGCCTTTGCCAATCCATAAAAAGTCAATGATGGGGTCTCACACTGATGGCTTAAGGGCCAGCTCTGACTTAAAGACGGGTTTTGCTTGACCCCACGATGTTCTATTTTTCAGAAATGTTGAAATTTAATGTGTTAGCCAGTGCAAACTCTATTCCCTTTGCCACAGTTGCCACCTCTTCCTAGTGGCTTGCACCTGGCAGCTTCACACATTTATGTTACCTACCTGACCCCTGAAGGCATTTGAGTTTGAAACTCTGATCTAGCATAATAGCCCCATTTTATGAATAAGGAGACTGAGGGAGATGGGGGACAAACCCAGGCTAATGGAATCCTAGATTATCTAAGATTGGAAGAGCCCCTAAGATCACCAAGGCCTCATTTTCAGATCTCTGCTCCATTATTATTTTTTTAGATAGGCCTTCTCCGATCACTTTACCCAAAACAGCACCCCCGTCGCCCTCTCTCCCTCTGCCCTGCCTTATTTGTCCCCATCACTTCCTGACATCACAGTCTCTCTTCTGTCCAGTCTATTGCCTGTCTCCCTTGCTACTCTGTATACTCCATGAGGACAAGGACTTTGTCTTGTTCACTGTTGTATCCCTGGTGCCCAGAACAGTGCCTGGCACGTGGTAGGTGCTCAAAAAAATGGTTGTAGCATGGGGAAGGTGAGGCCCTGGACATCAAAGGCCCAGCGCCAGACACCATCCCTGGTATAATTTCCCTGGATTGTTCAAGAGACATCCTGGAGTTGTCCGAGAACCCCATGGTCATCCGGCAGCTGGCAGGCCTCTCCTCTGTGCATGGGGCTGCATTTTAGGCTAACTCCTGTGGCCCTTCCCAGTGGTATGTTCTACCTGTAGGTGGGGAGTTGGGGGTGGGGAGTGGCGGTGAGAAGATGGGGGCGCGGTGCTGTCACACAGCTCCCTCACCCCTGCTTCTCCCAGCCTCCTTACCCCAAATCTGACCGATCAAGCCTGGAATCCCAAGTTCAAACAGACTGTAGCATGAGTGTGCAGGACATGCTGTTTGTGGGTTGAGGGCAGGGCAGGGGCCCTGGCAGGTCACAGTGTCTTAAAAGAAATGTTCTTAGAATTTGAAGAAAGAGGAAGGAAGGGAGGGAATATTAGGGGTGGGAAGAGAGGTCAAGAGAAGGAACTCTTCTTATTTTTCCTCAAAGAGAGAATTACGAGGGCCACGTAATACTTTTTCAATAGTAAAAATATTTACTTACTGATACTATTCAAACAATATACAAAAGCATGAGGAAGAAGATACAAAGGACCCAATATTCTACCTCCCAGGGATCTAGTAGCAATTACAAACCCACCTAGGCCAGACGGACTAAGCTCTGGATCTTGGGAGGGTCCCTTAACTTCTCAGTCTCAGTTTCCTCATCTGTAAAATGGGGATGGTAGCAGTACCTGCTGCCTAGGACTGTTGAGGGGATTAGATAGGTCAGTACACACAAGGGGCTTAGAACAGTGCCTGGCTCATGATGAGGGCTAGCATCATCACCATTGCCATCATCATCATCATCACATCATCATCTTCATCTTTGCAGATAGTTCTTTATGCACCAACCCCCCCTCCTACCTCTTCTCTGTCAATTCACTCATCTATCCATCCATCCATCCATCCATCCATCCATCCATCCATCCAATCTTCTCCAGTGAGAACATACCCAAGCGCTTTTCAGGAACCTACTTTTTCCACTCCGCATTACATTATATCCTGATGCAAAGTGGTTTGAGTCCTGGTTAATGGGGGAGATGGGTGGTAGAAGCCATTGCCATCCCCGAAGTCTGTTTTGCTAGGTTCAGTATCCATGGGTAAGCCTAGATTTGGCCTTGGTTTCTTTAGGCGTAATGAACGTCACAGATCAAGAACATTTGCAATCAGATGTGTTGCCAATATAAGAAAGGAACCTCATTCCAGAAAGACCTTCAAAACAAGAAATAATCAAATAAATGTCTATGCCATTTTTGTTTCCTGTCTCCCTAACCAGGCTGGGGGCTCCTGGAGGCAGGGGCTGTGTCCCCTGCATCACACTGGCAGTCCCCCAGGTAGGAGGTGTTCTTCTCTCTCCATCTCTCTCACTGCAGCCTTCCTACCCCAGACCTGTAGACAGGGAGGTTCTGGTTTGTGTGTCCTTTCTTCCGCTCTCTACAAGGACCCCATAACTGAGGAGGCATGCCCTGTGATTCCTGGGGATGACACTTTTCATCACCCCCAAGGCCCGTTATGGAGGGGACATGTCACCTACAACTCGTCATCTCTACTTGAACATCTAGTAGACATTTCACGTTTAACAGGTCCAACATGGCCCACCTCTGGTCTTTCCCACCTCATTTGATGATGACTCCATCCTTCCAGCTGCTGTCACCAAAAACACTCCAGTCGTCCTTGATTCCTCTCTTTCTCTCATATCCACATCCAATTCATCAGCAGACCTTGTCAGCTCTACCTTCAAAATACGTCCAGAATCCATCTGATTCTCACCACCCTTCCTGAAATCCCTGAGACCAAGCCACCATCTCTCTTTCTCCTGGATGACGGAAGAGCCTTGTCACATTATCTAACATGCATATTTTACTTATTTACCTCTGTTTGTCATCTGTTTCCCACCAGAATATAAATGCCATCGGAGCAGGGATACAGTCTGTTTTAGCCATAGCTGTATCCCCATTGCTAAAAGGAGTGTTTAACACTCAACAGACATTTTTCAAATGAATGAATGAAAATCCACAAACACCCTCAGAATAGACTGGAGCCAGAGCTTTCAGTCCTGAGTTGAAAGGAGAGGGATTCTAGAAACAGATCCACCCTCCCCGGCCCACTGCTCCGAGCTCCTTTTCAAGTTTCCTCCTCTTTGTCTGGCCAAGGATGCTCACCCGGGGTGGCTTCCGCCATCTCCGGAGTCAGGGCACCTTTTGGGGCATAGTATAGCATGGTGGGTCAGGTGGACCTGGGTTCAAGTTCTAGCTCTATCACTTACTAGCAGTGTAATCTGGAGCCATGATTCTCTTACCTAGAAAGTAAAGATTCTAGTAATAGTTGCTCCACTGCTCGTTCGTCAGTTTGTTGTACTGTGGTGGCTTACATATTGCTATGATGCTGAAGCTATACCACCTGTATTTCAAATATCGGCAGGGTCACCCATGGTGGACAGGTTTCAGTGGAGCTTCCAGACTAAGACAGACTAGGAAGAAAGGCCTAGCAATGTGCTTCTGAAAATCAGCCAACGAAAACCCTATGAATCACAACAGAATATTGTCTGATATAGTGCTGGAAGATGAGCCCTTAGGTTTGAAGGCACACAAAATACACAGTGGCTGTAACAATGAACTTGAGCGTTCCAATGATCACGGGAAGATGGTGCAGAACAACGTTTTGTTCTATTGTTCAAGGGGTCGCCATGAGCTGGAGCTGCCTAGACAGCAACTAACAACAGTAATAGTTGCTAGCATCTCTCTTGGTGAATTCTAGGTGCCAGGTACCGTGCTAACTGCCTTAAGCTTATCTCATGTAATCCTCACATCAACTCAATGGCACAGGCATTATTATTACAACCACCCCTTTACACACGAGGAAACTGAGCCACAGAGCGCTTGTCAAGGATTGAATTGTGTCCCCCAAAATTATCTGTCAACTTGGCTAGGTCATGATTCCCAGTATTGTATGATTGTGTACCATTTTATAATCTGATGTGATTTCCTTATGTGTTATAAACTCTATCACTATGATGCAATAAGATGGATTAGTGGCAGTTATACTGATGAGGTATACAAGATTGGATACTACCTTAAGCTAATCTCTTTTGAGATATAAAAGAGAGAAGCGAGCAGAGACATACGGGAACCTCATACCACCAAGAAAACAGTGCCAGGAGCAGAGCATATCCTTTGGATCTGAGGTTCCCGCACAGAGAAGCTCCCAGACCAAGGGAAGATGGATGAAACGGACCTTCCTCCAGAGTCGACAGAAAAAGCTTTCCCTTGGAACTGATGCCCTGAATTTGGGCTTGTAGCCTACCGGACTGTGAGAGAATAAACTTCTCTTTGTTAAAGCCATCCACTTGTGGTATTTCTGTTGTAGCAGCACCAGATGACTGAGACAGAGATTAAGTAACTTGTGCAAAGTCACACAGGTTGTAAGAGGCAGATCCAGGATTTGAACCCAGGCAATCTGACTCTACTGTGATATATATGCTCCCTGATATGTCAGCATATGAGATAAAATCTGCGAACTATTTAGCTGGTGCCGAGCACATAGTCAGCCCCCAGAAAATGCTGATGATTATCATTACTGTGTGGATTCAGACTCACCCACTGCTCAGCCCGGGAAAAAAAAAGTGAGGATAGAGGCAAAGGTGGAGAAGAGGAGGGGCTGGGGGTTTCAGGGGAGCTCCTGCTCCACTGGGGGGACCCTAGATGAAGCAGCCCCTTTTCCTCATCCCCTAGAGAGGCCTCAGGCGGGTGGATGGGTGGACATCCATCCCCAGCCTCCCAGATTGACAGGCTTGAAGAGGGCAGGGCGTGGAGCCAGGAGGTGGGGACTCCAGGTCACAGGGTGAAATTAAAAGGGAGGAGGATAGCATCGGTCCATCAGAACTCATGTATCTTCCTGGTGAAGAGGTGCCCAGGACAGGAGCTGGGGGCTGGAGTGTGCGGCCGGGGGCACCCAGGGCCGGAGCTCAACTTGGAGGTTGGTCGCTGGGAGACGAGATGGCTGCACAGAGAGCTGTGCAGCTGTCCCTGAAGAAGCCCACCTATGCTGTGTGTGTGGTGGGAGTTGAGACCCTCGTGGACATTCACAGGTGAGAGCTGGGAGGTGCCATCTGGCTGCAGAGGGCTGGGCTAGAATGGAGGTCCCTGAGGCAATTGGGTGGGTGCCAGTTAGAGGATGCTGGCAGGAGGCTGGTTGTTTCAACAGCAGAGAAGATGGAGTTGGCTGCAGACACTGGGAGGGATGGGCTAGGGTGCCAGGTCTACCTCTGGGCTCCAACTCCTGGGCACTGGGGTTAGGATTTTAACCTTGGGCCGCTGGATCTGGGGTCTGGCCTCAGGTTTCTAGCTCTGAGCCCTGGGCTCGAGGCTCTGGTCCTTGGGACCAGGCTTTGGGGTCTGGGCTCTGGATGCTGATGTCTGAGTGGAACTTGTCACTTGTCTCATCTAGGGCGTCAGAATGAGTTGTTGCTCAGGAACTGAACAGGACTGGGTCTTCCCTCCCCTCCCCTCCCCTCCTCTCCCTCAATGTCTTGCCTCAACCCATCTCTCTGAGGCTGGGTGGGAGCTGGATCCCTGGAGACCAGCCAGGGGCAACGAGGGTGACTGGGATTAGGAGGGAGTGGTTAGAGGACTAATCACTCATATGCGCTCATATAGGAAGAAAACTTGGAATGAGGCCTGGGACTTGTGTTCACTGTGATCAGGGACAGATTACCCAATAAGAAAGGCACACACAGGCTTACCTGTACTTACTCACTAATCTGTAGTGCACAATTTCACCTGTTTTTTTTTACCACATAAAGGATGTACTGAAACGCATGTGAGATTGTGCGCTACAGATTAGTAAGTAAACACAATGAAGCCTGTGCGTACCTTGCTTACTGTAAGCCTGTGCATACCTTGCTTACTGGTTAATCCACCCCTGGCCATGATGGTGATGACGATGCCTGTGGTGGTGACAACAGTGACCTCTAAAGGAACAGCAGGAGCATCAGCTTCTGTTGGCCCAAATCCTTCTTTACTGGCTCAGCCTTGGTTTCCCCACCTGGCCCCAGGGGAGTTGAACTTGGTGATCTCTGGAGGCCTTTCTGGCTCTGAAAGACTGTCTATGGCCTCCATCCCTGCTGGACCAGATGGGGCTGGACCCCTGTGAGTGGTGGCCTAGGTGGGCCACGCTCCAAGAGGAGCTGGGAGTTCTGCAATGAGCCATCAGAGCTGTAAGTGCCTCCCACTTCTGGGGCACACCCCCGCCCATGCAAGGCCCTATACTCACATGGTCTCATTTATGCTCCTCCAAGTCCAATAAGATTGGTGCCATTATTTTCCCATTTGTCAAATGAGGAAACTGAGGCTCAGCCCCCTAAGCTTTTAGACCTGTGTTCTCCCAGTGGTTAAGGTATGCTGGGCCCAGCTCCCTACCTGCCCTGAAATCAGCCTCTTTGGGGAGTTGCTTTCCCCCAGAAGTCTTTCCTGCCCCTCTCACGAAGTGGCCTGAGGCCCCAGTGGCAAGGCTGGAGAGAAAAGCCAGGAGCCCTGGAGACCAGACCTTGACTCTAAGTCGCTGGTGGGATCCCTGTTGTGTGGGCTGATTCTCTAGCACTGGAGGAGATCCCATTTTCTCCTGCCCTTTGAACACAGTGCTGCCAGGTGTAGCAAAAAAAAACCCCATATATATATATATATATATATATATATATATAGGACGCCCAGTTCAACTTGAATTTCAGATAAACAACAAGTTTTAGCATAAGTATGTCCCAAACTCTGCATGGGACATACTTATGTTAAAACAAATAATTGTTTGTCTGAAATGCCAATTTAACTAAGCATCTTATATTTTATCTAGCAACCTTACTTTAACACCAGGAGCAGAGAGGGGGCATCTCTCATCTGAGGGGATGGCTGTTTCTGGAAGGTAATTTCAGAACCTCAGGCAGGCGCTCCCTGGTGCTGCTGACTAAGGCCAGAAGCATTTGACTGGGAGACAAGACATCTGAGTTCTGGTCCCAGCTCTGCCGCTGACTTACTGTCTGACGCGGGGCAAGTCGCTGGCTCTCTCTGGACCTCATTTCATCAGCTGAGCCCAGACATGAGCTGAGTCCTCTCTGCAGTTCAACTTGGAGGTAAAGAGTGCAGATTCTGGAGTTGGACAGACTTGGGTTCTAATCCTGGCTCCGTTTGTTGCTGTGTGATCCTGGGCAAGTTACTGTACTTCTCTGAGTCTCAGTTTCTTCATCTGACAAATGAGGGAACAGTAGTACTGATCTTAACGGGCTTGGGGGAGCATAAATGAGACTGTGCATGTCTAAGGCCTAGCCTAGGGGGTGCGCCATAGCTCTGAGGGCTCTGTGGCCCCCCACTTTTCTCCAGTATCTTCCCACTGCGCCTCAGAGGATGGAAGGAACAAATGAGAGATCAGGATGTCCGTGGTGGGAGCGTAGGGCAGGGCTGTCTGTAAAGCTCCTTTGGAATTGCTAAGGCCTTTAGCATCCTCATATGTGGGGCCCCCAGCCAGCTGAGGGGAAGGAGGAAGCTGTCTGGGCTGTGCATCACCGCTGTCCTTGGCTGCCAGATTTAGCAAGTAAAAATTCAGGACAGCCAGTTAAATTCGAATTTCAGATAAACAACAAATTTTTTTTTAAATAAAAGTATGTCCCGAACATTGCATGGGACATACTTATGCTGAAAAAAGTATTGTTTATCTGAAGTTCCAGTTTAACTAATCATCTTGTATTTTGTCTAGCACCTTACTTTAACACCAGCAGTAGAGAGGGGTGTCTCTCACCTGAGGGGATGACTGGGAGATGGGTGAAGAGAGAGGTGGCTGCTTTGGGGTCCTGAGTTGAGCACTACAAGGGATTTCTATCCAAAAGCCCTTAGGGAACTTTCGCCCCGGGTGTCGGTGATGACTGGGGTCATAGCCACTGGGAGTCTCTAACTTAGAAAACAGAAGCTTATTCTGCAGCAAGTTGATTTAAGATTAGCCTTAAGGAAGAACTTCCTGCCAGTTAGGCTGGGATAGGTGGAGGAAGGGGTCATGGACTTGTCACCCTGGGAGGGATTTTAAGAGGAGGCTGGAGCTCATTGCAGGAGGAAGGGGATACATTTGATGATGAACTTGGGGCTCCCTCACCCCTGTTGCCAGGAGCCTGGCTCCAGGTGAGGCCAGGCGAGGGGTTTCTAATCGGCTTTGCTGCTAGGTGAGGGGAAGGCTCCAAATGAGCTGCCCTGAGTCTGAGCCCTCTGGGAGAGCCGGTGGAGACGGGTGTGGGGTGACATCACGGGAAGTGATTAATTCCCTGGGTTGCTGTGTAGACTGGTTATTTGGAGAAATATTTGTGTTTAGGGTGGCTGTGCACCTCGGGGTGTCCCAGCTCGAGGAACCCTTAGCAATGCCCTAACTCAAAATGTGCTGCAGATCCCACCCCCACACCCCAGGGAGCTAGCTCCCCACTCCGGACTCCGGACCTCAGCGGGCTAGCTCCGCATCCTGACCCCACACCCCAGTGAGCTAGCTGCCCACCCTGACCCCGCACCCCAGTGAGCTAGCTCCCCATCCTGACCCCAAGCCCCAGTGGGTTAGCTCCCCACCCTGACCCCACACCCCAGTGGGCTAGCTCCCCACCCGGACCCCCATGTCCCAGTGGGCAAGCTCCCCACCCTGACCCCACACCCCAGTGGGCTAGCTCCCCATCCTGACCCCCTGTCCCAGTGGGCTAGCTCCCCACCCTTACCCTGCACCCCAGTGGGTTATCTCCCCACCCCGAGCCCCTGGGTCTGGCCAGACTGCCCTGGAAGTCCCTGCTGTTACTTGGGAGCTTGGAGGTAGCCCCAGAGGGCTCATGCCAACAAAGAGGGGGACAGCATGGGGATCTCTCAGCAGTCCAGCCTATCCCTCCTTGTCCATCCAGAGGCCTGAATCAGAGCCCAGGCTGGAAGCCACAATGATGGGAGATGGAGGAGAAGGCTGACTGGGCAGGGTGGGGGGACATTCTCCTGGACTCTTCCCAAGCCTGACATCCCGATAAAGCACCCAAGACTTCGAGAAGTACAGGGCGGAGGGACACTGCAGGGCCAGAGAGAGCCCCAGGCCACTTCCATGTTCTGAGATGCCTGGTATTTCAAAAAAAGAAAATGCCAAAACAGAGTTATAAAACTTGTGGTATATATATTTTTAATGTTTACACTGAGTAAATGAATGCTTTGAACTCACACAGAAGTACGATGAACCATAATTGTGCTCCACATGGGATAATTATAGGATTGATGCCGGCCCTAATTCACAGTGACTGACAGCCTCTGAGCACTGGCTTGGGACATGGGGTTAGAGCTGGGTGAGCACCTCTCTTCCTTGCGCCATCCTGTTGCGGCACCTCTGTGACAGGAAGGACACCCTTATCTGGAGGTAATGTTTCAAGTTTAAATTTGAGGGTTCCTGGAGAATATGAGGCCAGTGTCCCCCGTAAGTTCCAAGGGCCCATGAACGCCCCAGGAGTTGTAGAATCTGGACTTGGAGTGGTGGCGTATGCCATTCTTGAAGCCTACAAGATTGGTGGCACAGTGGTTAAGAGCTCGGCTGCTAACCAAAAGGTTAGCCACTCCCTGGAAACCCTATGGAGCAGTTCTACTCTGTCCTGTAGGGTTGCTATGAGTCAGAACCGACTCGACGGCACTGAACAATAACAACAACAAGACTGGTATCACTAAGAGCCTCAGAGGTCAGCCATCCCTTAATTCAGCACGTGTCCCTGCTTCCCCGGGTCCCAGCTGCCACCTGCCATTTTGAGAGGGTCTCTGATCCAGCTCAGAGCCCCTCGTCTTCACTTCATCCTTCCCTCTCCAGCCTCCTTGCCCCCTCCCCTCCTCTTCCCATCATTTCTTGGATCCCAGTCCTGGAATCTCTCCTTATTTGTCCTCTTCTCCTTTTGCCTTCTCAGCTCCCACCACTTCTAACCCCCAGTTCTCTCTTCTCCTCTCTAGCCCCTGCCCTTCCTTTCACGAGGGGTCGGGGCCAGCTGGGGCCAGAGGGGCCGGAGATAAGCCAGACACAGGCCCTGCTCTCCTGACCTGTGGACCCTGAGAGAAGATT